ATGTTTCTAGTAATCACAAGTAATACCATCCATTCAATTAAGAGAGGAATCTCATGATCAAGATCCAATCAGAGTTTCAAAGAGTGATAAGTCTCTCTGGGTCAAGATCGCACTTATCCTTCCTTACTAGAATCAGATGTTAACGAGTTACCAATGGACTGAATCAATTATATGACAGCAGATATCCGGTGGTAGATCAATCAGGATACACGCAAACTTTTGTTAGTATCAGGACTTGAGAGTAGATGGTGGCAAGGCAGGCTTCTCGGAGCCTCGCTCCTCTTACCACCTAATATATATTGTTAATATGACGATAAGGCAGACTTCGTAGAGTCTCGCTTCTATTATCGCCTAATATATAGTATTACGGTGGTAAGGTAGGCTTCCCGGAACCTCTTTCCTCTCACCACCTCCTGTATCCGGATTGTGAACATCTTCTGCATCCAGATGCAGTATGTCCCATCTGTGCCTACTGGCGCTATAGCGAATGTGCACTTAACTCTGATGGTGAACGCCCCACAATGGTCATGGCCTGCAACTGGCATGCCCTCTGCCGTGCATGCTTCAGAGGTATGGTCGATGCTAGCCGTCCTGGTTCCTGCTGTGACGAAGTTGCTTACCTGAATGGTTTTCGTCCTATAGATCAACGGTTGTCCAAATCACACTCGGAGGTCTTTGAAAATGTGAAGGGTTGGGGTAAAAAGGAGTCAGAATTAGGAAGGAATGTTGTTTTCAAGGTTTTGGGGCGTGAGGGACTTGCTATGAATGGGTTAAAGGTTGACGCTTGTAGGGCATTCTGTGTCTGCATCTGTATGCAACGGTGTTTTCGTTAAAAGTGAAATTGTTTTCATGTTCACTTTTTATTTTAATTGTAAGATGACACAAAGAACTGAGGAAAAAATAAGCAAACAACGAGATAATAATGGTTATACATGAAAGTTGTTAAAGGAAATTAAACAAAAATTTTCACCTCGAATGTTAACACATACACTAGCTGCAAAAATGTCACTCAAGGATTGGCAATCCACTCTGCAAATATGTCACTCAATAAAACACGCCAACCTCATCAACAACTGATGAGAAGTCTAGGAAATATCATTATACATTGTCAACATATTTCTAAAATTGCCTACAGTACACATTTTCACCCGGAATGTTCACACTAAGTAAACATGTCAACCTCATTTTTTCAAACCTAGAACCTGAAATTCTCATCGACTTTCCTATCTAACCATGGACAAAATGTCAAATGCTATTCTAAGTCTCATATCAGGAATGCTATCTTGTGAGAAACTGAACGGAGGGAAGTGACCTTTTGCATGCAAAGATGCAAAACCTAACATAAAAACACGACAACTAGAAGAATCCTCTTGAGCAGGAATCCCATCTACTGATGTGTCAAAGTAGGATGTAGGCTCCTCCACATGATATTTTTCCCGAAGATTTTGTCGCTGAAACTCCGCTCTGAAAAAACCTGCCAAAAGTTCGAGGGTTGGACCATAGTCAACACGATGGAGAGAGTCTACGAGGCCGAATGTACACTCAGAGCGATCGATTCTGACATAAGCTAAGGCCCAATGATTTTCAAAATGGAGAGGGATAATTACCAAATCAAAATTGAAAAGATTTATGTCCTTCACCCATCTCGTCCCTTCGGAGTATGCGATTTCAGCAGACTGAGCTTTTGACAATCTGGGAAAGAAAAAAAAAATTAGAATATGCACAGATGGAATGCTACAAAAACTTTCATCTTTTGCCACTTCTGCACATGTCGAATCCACCTTCTTGATGTAGTCATTGGTGATCTGAACGGCTAGCAGGTACAAATTGACGACTTCATCATTTAACCATTCTCCATCTTTGGCGGCGAGCATGACGTCTTTCTTTTCCACCTTCCACCTCCCCTTGTAATCGACAATGCCGTATTCTTTATTCTCTTCAGTGCTGCCAGTAATCATTTCAAGATACTCCTTTTCTTCTACAGTAAGGCGTACTGTTGCTAAAGGAATCTGGAACAAAGGGTCAGGCACTGCATACAAACACACATATAAACAACAATAGAGCGACTAAGACTTCACACAAAAACAAGTGATAGACTACATAGATATGAGCTCATGTTGTTGGTTGTTTATCTATTTCATCATCACTGCTGCTATCCATAACAGATAAACTGCAACCTGCGCGATGCAATTTTTTCCCTTCTGTGAGGATTATTCCAACAACTTTAAACATGCTTAAGGCAGTTGGCTTCACAGATGGAAATGTCATGGGTGTACGACTTCTTCTCTCATCTTTTGGCAATAACGGCGAAGTTGACAAAGTTTGCAAACCACGACGAATTATATTATTCTCTCTCTTCCTTTGCGAGTGTACATGTGTCGTTTTCCACAGTTCTTTTTGTCGCCCTGCATGATTGACAAAATAAAACATAATGAGTTACAAGGCCAACTTTCCGTTGTTGAAACTGACTCATGAATACCAATACAAAATATATGGCAATTGCACTAAGTCTTTATACGAAACAATTGCAGTATTTCTCTTTAGAAAACGCACAGTTCCAAAGCTAGGTAAATAAAAAATACATCTGAGGGATCGACACAATGGGAGATGAGTGCATGTGATGTACCCACTAATCCGCATATAGTATTAGATATTGCTCCTAAGATAAGAAAGTGCTCACCTCGATCGCTAACTCTTAGTTTTTCTTCAACACGACCTTCTGTCACACCTTCCATATGCAATGGCGCAATAGGAGATTCCTCGATAGCTATCATGAGGTTAGCAGACTTTGGTGTTTGAGGTTGTTCAAGCGTTTATTGAGGTTGTACAAGTACAACTTGCTCCGGTGTACTTAGTACTATATGTCCTTCATCCTCTTCGATGCCCTGTACATGGAGAGTTTCTTCCTCCTTTACGCCCTCAAAAGTGTCCTGGAAAGTACCGCTTACTTCGGCTGGCATCGTCGACGACGACATCTGCAATTCCGTGAGTGTACCAGTAATATTCACTTTCATAGCGACACTGTCGCCCACTAGTATCGTAGTCGTCCAAAGTTGGTCAGCTGTACTCATGCCCTCGCAACTCACACCACCTTTTCGTCCCGAAGTTTTGACACTCGCACCGACAATCGATCCCCAATGCTGTGTCAGGTTGGACTCAACCACGAGTTTTTCCGCTCGGTCAAGCTGGGAGCACTCCAATAGTGGACCCCTGTCGTGTTCGACTCGACCGTGTGACCCTTCGACAAATGAAACAATGTCGATTGGTCCCGAAGCCTTGCCACTTGTACCGGCGATTGATCCCGATCCCACTGTCGGGTTTAACTCGACAGTGAGTTTCTTCGCTTGGTCAAGCCGCGAGCGCTCGAATGTTGGATGAGTGTCGTGTTCGACACGACCGTGTGACTCTTTGACAGGTGAAGCACGGGCGATAGTTGTACTGCCCCCCCGTGGTCCTGAAGCCTTGGTAGTCGCACCGGCGATCGTTTCCGATCCCACTGTCGGGTTCGACTCGACGGTGAGTTTCTTTGCTTGGTCAAGCCGGGAACGCTCCAATGCGAGGCCACTGTCGTGTTCAACTCGACCGTGGGACCCTTCCACAGTTGAACCACCACTCGATCCTGATCCCTTCGCTCTATTTCTTGAGGCCCCTGAGACGCTTCCACAGTTGAACCACCGCCGCTTGGTCCTGTAGGTTTGCCATGCCCACCGCCACTTGGTGTTGATCCCTTGCCTTCCGTTGCTTGACGCCCCTTAGAATTTTCGGTTTGTTGTCGTTCCCCACGACTTGCGTCCTTGCCGCTTGCACCGTCATTTGGTTCCGGACCCTTGTCACTTGCACCGCTCCCCGATCACAATCCTTTGCCATGCGCACCTCCGCTCCATCCGGATCCCTTGCCATGGTCACCACTGCCGCTTGATTTTTTCCTCTCCCCAAGATGTTCTCTGACATGCCAATAATATCCATAAGTCGGGCTGGTTTGTCTATCATAGAACTCTTCCAGATACTCAAGCCTGTGTGTACGTCCGTATGTATACGGCCCGTCCGTACGTATCATAGAACTCTTCCAGATACTTCAAGGGGGGGGTCGGGCGTGATTTTCGAGTTTCATTTTTTGTTTCTCCTGTTATTTTTGTATCGATGTTTCTGACGATTCGACAGTTCTTTCGCACACCATTTGACTGAGTCCAGCGTGCATGTGTCTTTTATTGTTGTGTGTGTACGGCGCAGCTGTTTCCCTGCCC